CCCCAAAACCCCAAAACCCCAAAACCCCTCTTTCCACAGCGCAAACTGAAATTTCTCAAGTGCAATTATTTCAAATCTCAATTTCAGCACCAAACCCAACAAACCCTCAATTTTTTCCCAATTACTGCCAATATCCTAAGCACCAAACAATAAGCCACTAAATGTCCCAAAAACTCAAAATCCATGTTTAAAAAGTAGTAACTTAGAACTAAACATCAGTTATAGAGGAACTAGATGACTACCCTCCTTCATTTATATATAAATTCTTTATGGTTAGTTATTAGTTCTGCATTTTTTATGCTCAAATAAAAGGAGGCAAATGTGTAGCTCCTTTATATAAGTTTGTAATTATTATGAGGCTTTGGAGGTTTAGGAAGATTTTTGGGGCATATTCCGTGAGAGTTTCGAGTGTTTTGGAACGGCGAGATTTGGGGTAGGAGGTCCAAAGGCTCGATTGAGTGGTCTCTTGATTGGAGAGGATTCGAAGGAATTTTTTGGAATAATGAGGTGAATAGAGAGGATGGGGTGTTGTGTTGTATGTCTTCTATTGGCTTTCCAATTTGGGTTGGGGTTGAATAAATTCAAGGGAAGCAACAGAGTAGCCCCTTCTTTTTAATCTCAAATATAACTGTTCTATCATGAACATTTATTTTTATTCCGCTTAAACCATGACTATCAAATGTAACTGGATCAAAATTTAATGCATATATTTTCGAACTTGCAATTCCCTTTTTGAGATAAAATTTTCCTTCCGAAAGTTCTATTTTGGCATAATTTTTCTCAATGCTGATATCAGGTATAAAAATATCGAAATTCTTATCTCGACCAATATAGAATTCCATCTTGGCCTTTCTAAAGAGTCTGTCTCTGTGATCTATATTAATAACATGAATTGATTTAACTTTGTTAAAATTGAGCACTTCGAGTATAATATAATCATTTTCTTTCTCTGGAACATTAAAAGAAAGCAGCTGAAGAACTCTATCGTTATGCACAACCTCTGTGTCAAACTGATGTTTACAGACTTCTCAGGAGCTAAGTTTCCAGTAATAAGAAACATGGAATAAAGATCTCTGGACCCTTTTCTTAGTGTTCAGCCAGTTTTGCATTCACTTGTAATGAACGTATTTCATTGATCCCTTACATTTTCAGGGACTGAACAAAGGATTGCTACTGTTGTTGCTCTCAATGCTCAAACAAATTCTTCACATAATCTCTTCCACAGGTAAAATGAAGTTAGAAATAGATCTTTGAGCACCCATTTCAGACTTGAGGTCCTCAATTTCTTCCTCTTCGATGAATGAGTTTTGGCCAAAAGAAACTAAGCTTAGTTCTTTTCTGGGTCTCTTAGCAACAGTATTAGGATAATCCTCTACCTTGGTCTCCTCCTTATGGCTTTTTCTGAGGTGCATTTTTAACATTGAATGACTATCGAAGCTACTATTTTTGAAATGAGCTCCAATTATCAGGCTCAGAGTCCATATAAAAGTTAGAAACCTTGGCTGAAACATTTAATTCTTCTATATCATGACATAAAGAATACCGTTAAGCATCTTTCTGACTCGAATGACACAATCTCCAATTCGGATGATTTCATCCTCAGATAGCAAATAGCCTGAAGTTTCTTTTGCATCAGTGATTCATTGCCAGCTAAATTTGGTTAGGTCTTTAAAGTCTTCATCCAAAGAGATGTCATTATTTTGGCATATCATATAATTTTCAAAGGTCTTAATGATCAATGCATGGACATTTCTATTTCTGGTGATTTTGAACCTAGAATAGGAATTGACAAAAATTTTAAGAAACGTTTCATACCTGATCTACTAGTTTTACTTCATTTAAAAGATCATCATAAATTAAGAAAGCACTGTCAATTCATTCATATTTCTCTTGAATTATCTTTGCTCCTTCTTGGGTTCAAATTTTAATAGATAGTGACGATTTGAGAAATTTCATATTATTCTATATAAAAACAATAAATAAGTTTTTTTCAGGGGTTTTGGGGTTTTGGGGTTTTGGGGTTTTGGGG